CCCCCCATTAACCCTCAGTTTGTTTTGTGAGATTAAGAGTCACTTATCAAACCCTTGATTCTATCATGTTTACTGCTTCACCCACCCCTCTCATGCAATCTCTTTTCTCCTGCACATAAGGTTAATAAATGTAATAGTTAATTAGGCATACCTTGGAGATATTCCAAGTTCAGTTCTCGGCTACCACAATAAAGCAAATATCACAATAAGGTGAGTTAAATAAATGTTTTGGTTTCCCGGTGCATATAAAATTGTGTTTACACTATACTGTATTCTATTAAATGTGTAATAGCTTATGTCTAAAACCACAACATACATACCTTAATTAAAAAATACTTTATTGCTAAAAAATGCTAATCATCATCTGAGCTTTCAGTGAGCCACAATCACTGAGCACAGTTCACTATAACAAATATAGTAATAAAAATGTTTGAAATATTGCAAGAATTACCAAAATGTAACATAGCCATGAAGTGAGCAAATGCTGCTTGAAAAATGGTGCTAATAGACTGGCTGGACACAGGGTTACCACAAACCTTCAATTTGTATAAAACACAGTATCAATAAAGTGCCACTATGAGAAGTGCAATAAAATGAGGTATGCCTGTATTATAATCCTTACTTACACTCTCAGCCTCCTCTTCCTTTTTTAAATTCACTGTACTTGCTGGCAAAACCAAAACTTTGATCAATTCCAGTTATCTTCTTACTTTGAGCCTACACCTGTATATTAACCACATTTCTATCTTCTATAATCTTGGTGCTTTACCATTTGCCACAAATTTAGGCCCAATAGGTCTTGTTCTGGACAAATTGATATGCTCAAGTCATTGTACCTTGGTTTCCTGCCTCCCTTGTTACACCTTCCCCTCCCAGGGGCACAATTTCCCAATGCAAACCAGTCTATCTCCAACTGCCTCCCTTGTCAGGCCCTCACACTCTGGCCCACTATATACCTTCCCTCATCACCCTATAATCAGGTACCAGACAATTAAGGATGGCTCCTATGTTCCAGAACCCACTGAAATTATTCAAACTAGTCAATCTTAAGCCTGCTTGCCATGCCTGACCTGTACTTTCCCACCAAAACCACAAAAAAGAAAGGCCCACAGTTCCTCCCTTTACTTCTGCCTGATGGTTGACCCCAGTGCTTCCCCATGAAGGCTGCTGTGGCATTGCCTGCCCTCTCCTCTTGGAAACTATGAGTAATAGATGATTTTTTTCAATGGCAGTCATCTCCTGTTCTGTTGACCCTACCATTCTTCAAATTTTCTATGAATATGCTATATTTTAATTCAACCTGTACAGCTAAATGAAGCTGGAGAAAAAACATCCAACTATGACGCTCATCTTAAATTATGGATCATTAACTTAAAGTCTTTAATGTGCCAGCAATCATACTGTATTTTCTTGGCTCACTTTTTACTATACCTTCTAAGGTCACTATTTCATACTTCTTTCTTCTTGAATATCAACATCTACTCCCATCTTTACTTTCAGCTGATTAAGTGAGAGAACTGAGCTAATCAAGTGACTTTTAGATATTTCAAATTATTTCAAATATTTCAAATATTTCTACTGTCACAACTATGCACCTGATATATCTATACCTGCATCCTCTATTTCTCTTTCATTACTCTGGATAAATTACTTATGATTCCAGCTTAGATCAATTCCTCTATTCATGTACTAGATTCAATTCCTTTCTATCTATTCAAGGACATTGCTCTAGTAATTCTTTCATGCTTTTCTTGCTCTACTGCATTATTCCTTTTAGCAGGTAAACATGCTATTATTTCTTCTATCATAAAGAATTTCTCTTGATTTAGTCTACCTCTCCAGCTACCATCCATTCATCTTTCCTTTAACTATAGCAACTCCTTCGAAAGAACTGTCTGTATTTATCATTTCTAATTTCCCTTTGCATATACTCCCTTGAACCTGATCCAGTCAAGTTTTAGCCCTTATCATTCCACCAAAAGAA